TCTCGTGACCCCCGGATGAAGCAGCCTGGAGAGCATTGCCGTAGCGTCCGCCCTGAGCGTTGACATCGGCGCCCTTGTCGAGGAGTATCCAAACTGGACTGATTAAACCCACAAGGGATGCGTAATACAAAGCAGATGCTAGCTTTCCATCTTCATTGCGTTCGTCGTTCCATGGTTGGTCAGGATTATATAGGCGACACCAGGTTTGATAAGAGTTCTCATGCGAGAAAAGCCTGCTTGCAAGAACACGAACCTTTTCGCTGCCGCTTTCAGCTACGATGGCATGGTCTACCCAGTAGCGTGCGGCATACTGCGCTAGAAAGAATGACTGCCTGATCTTCTTTACCGAAAGGCCCTGTCCTAAGTCTGACAAGTAAAGAAGGCAGACTTCTGCGATGGAGGCCCTTGCAACTGGTTCCTTAAGATCTCCTGAGATGGAGGCCCCAATAGCATTTTTCTCTGGTCCCTTAGAAACGTCCCTTTGTAACCGATCTGATACGAGGTATTCCTTGACCGAAAAATGTGTAAGTTGTATTTCTTTCCTGATTTCCCCGCTTTTCTGCTCCTCTACGTTCACTAGACTCACCAAGCTTGAGCAGCATTTCAGGATCTCCTCTGGAACTGGCATTCGGTTTTTGGGATCAAAGCATGGCCTGTTGCCCATCTTTACCGCAACAACATCAACAGCTTCTTCAATTCGCAGAGGCCGCTCTGAGAAAGTCAAGAACTGCAAGATTCTTGTCGTCTTGTCCTTGTACCTTGCTGGGATATTCTCAAGGATCCGGGCATACGTCTCATCCAATGTTTCTGGTAGAGAACTGAGTGCTTCTGACAGGTCTGAGTAATCGAGACAATTCTCAAGAACGTCGAGTTGACAGGAAACCCAACGGAACCTGTATTGTCTTAGCAAAGTAAACATAGAGATAGCTCTGAAAGTATCTTACATCCCATGAGCCTTCTGCGTCAAAGCAGACTCAATCTCACCCTGAACATCCGGCCTCGTTTTCCACCTGCTCAGGCCATCGTTCTCCTTGACCTTTGTATGGATATATGCACGTATGTCTTCCGCAACCAGGTCACTCTGAATTGGAATGATGTCTTTCTTCCGGGCCCACCTCTCGGTAGCCGATTTGATGTCCTGTTCCGGCCGGCTCGTAGCGAGAATGTGAACATTCCTCTCCTGAGAGCTTCGGATGTTCTCTATCCACGATAGCAATCCCTCGGCTGAGTGCCCCTTCCGCGTCTGACACTCATCAAGCGCATCGAGGATGATCCAGACTTCACCAGCCTGTTGAACCATGTCTTGGAAGGTCTTGCATAGAGAGTGGATGCTTGGCTGCCGCGCTCCATTTTTGCAAGAGGAGTAGAGTGAGTCTATGTGTCTTTCGACATCACCCCTCTTGCCGTACAACTGGTTTATGAGTGATCGGACTGCATTCTCAAGACTCTGCTTGCTGGCGTCGTTGAAATAAAAGTAGAAGTAGAGCGGGGAGCAGACTTTGTTCTTCTCTAGGTCCTCAACGATGGTAGAGCTAAGAACTGTCTTTCCACATCCAGGAATGCCATGGAGCCACAGAAACGAGTTTCTCTCAGTCTTCCAGTCTGAATACTCCGGCCTCTGAAGGAACCATCGGCCCGAGCCTTCGTGTCGTTGCTTTAGGGCCTTGTTGTAGTTTGTTGACGGATCTGGGGGGGAGAGCCAGGCATTGATTTTGCCTCGGTGGTGCTCAACGTGGGAATTATTCACAACGTCGTTCGTTTCTTGTGTAGCAATAGAGATGCCGTTAAGCTTCTCTTCGACTTTAGAGTTATTAGCACGTTCTATCACTAAAGAGGAGCTGAGCCTATGGACTAACAGGTAGAAAGAATCTCGCTGAGTCTCTTCTCCGCTTCGATCCGTGTCGGTGGAATGCGACCCAAAAGATCCCTAGCGTATGCAGCTGCTGTCATAGCTGCATAACCTTGCCAATCTTTGTTCTTGTGGGAGTCCGAATAGTCGCAGATGCCTCTGATGACCAAGCACGGAAAATGATTCATCAACCCTGCAGCTTCCATCTCAAAACAAAGCACACCATGAGCCTCTGCAAGTGAATCTCGGATCTCGGCGTTCTTCATCAGGGTGTTGGCGGAAGCGATCAGGCCGTAGTGGACTGCCGGGCTATCCTCATCCTCACTTCGTTCGTTCCGCTTCACCAGCCTTTCGCAATGATCTACCTCGAATCCCTCGTCCCCGTTGCAGATCTCTTCGCAGCTTTTGTCGCTATCGGTGTGAACGAATGTTGACAGGTACAGCCGGTCAGTGCTGAGCTCGGGCCTTTGGAACAATCGCTTCATTTTTTTCTTCTTGGCAAGGATGGACTGAATGTTCTCGTGGATTTGATTGCCATCCGTCAGGTAGCGGCCTTCAAGGTCGCCAACTGCTGCACGCAGAAGAGGTTGTGGTTGATTGAGGAATCCAGAGTGTTGGAAGCCGTGGCCCTGAATCGCTTTGCCGTAGTCGTATTGCAAGACCCCGCCCCGGCCATCCTGAGGAGAGCTGACCACGACATCACCGAGTCTGATGTCGTGCTTCTTGCTGGGAGCACCGCCACCAATACCGACCATGAGGCCGATTCTGACATTTGGAAAGCTGTGCAGCATATCCCTTGCGACGCTCGCAGCAGAAGTGGTGCCGTACTCGCCCTTAGGCAACACTGCAACGACAACTCGATGCTGGCCGATCCTGCCCAGTGTGTAGACGTTGTTGTCATGCTGAGATACATGGCTGGGTGGATCGTGCTCTTCGTCGAGGAACTGGCGCGCAGCGACGCTTTCGGTTGGTATTGCACAAATCCAGCCGACCGTGTAGGTAGCCGGATCCGACATGTTGACGGTTCACGCCCTGTATGGAAGTGGTGGTCTTGGGAGCATTTAGCAAGAATCGTTTATCTGAAGTGAATACTTACGGTGTTCCCTAAGTCTATAGGCTGGGAAAGCGGTCGTAGCAAAACGAAGTTGTGAGTATACGGATATACTAGCACTTCTACTTATACCTTATATGCGCCTAGCTGTGCCAGGATGCACTAATTAGCCGAGCCTGCTGCCAAGTTTAGTCCGTGGATAAAACGCGGATTTGGTTGGCTGTAAGAAGTCCGTTTGGCTGCGGCGTGAAATACCCTTGCTCCGAAGTGCGGCTGAGCTCACTCAGCCCCCCACTTGAGCTCCGCATACTGCATGACCAGCGTACACGAGTGGAACACATCCGCATGAGCAAGGCTGACGATTTTAATTATATATGCTAAACCGTCGTCGGGGTGGTACGAGCGAGGGTGTCAGCTGAACCCATGGTGCGTCTGCCTGCTGCAGCGCCCTTTCGCTCGCTGCACGCTGACCAAAACAGCACAGGAGGCTTACTGCCGACACCTAAAACCGGATTGCCCGACAGCTGTAAGTGCGCTTGGAGGCCTGCAGCAGTTGCCGTTATTGGCCAGCCTGATCGTTGCTGTCAGGAGCGTGTCGCCGCTCGCTTGCGATAGCGATGGGAACATCAGCGCGGGCCCATCCATCACATCGGGCTGCGGCGTAGCTGCACGGCGTAACGCTTAGGCAACGCAGCCTGCTACGTACGAGAGTTGTGTCGTATAATTGATCAGGACAGAAAATGAGTGGTTCTTGGCATAGTGCTGAGGAGGGGTGCCGGGCCTTATATCTCCTCGGCTAGCTGAAAGTATTAGAAGCTAATTGCATGTGATGTACAGTGGTCTGGTATTCTGCTCTGTGTGCTCTGCATTCCCGGTGAGATGTTGGGGCAGAGCAGGCAGAGCACCTGGTGCTGCTCTTGGTGCCTGTGGTTTTCAGCCCCCAGGGGGTTGTACCGTAAAATTACGCACAATTCAATCCGATCTTTTCACTCCCACTTTCCCCCACTCGGTAGGTCTCAATGTGATGAGCGCCAGTGGGTGATGAGGCCAGAGCGCCCAAGAAGCTTCTGGCCATCCATGGGCAGATAACCAAGCTCTTCTCTGAGACACATCGCAAGTGATGACGATTCAGATGTTTCTCCCAGTCCTTTCTGCTATAAAACTCTTTCTTACGCCTTTGTATTGAGAGTTCTCGATCCCCGAGGCAAAGAAAGCACTGTGTGGGCTTACGCTGGTGCAAATGAGGGCTACTAACTTTTACGAAAGTATCCTTCTGAATCTAACACCGTGTGGTTACTTCGTTGGTTTCTTTTCCCAGGGGAGTAGCTTGGGGTCTCGTCACATCTTGACCCATCTTCTTGAGCTCCACGCAAGTCGATAAGTGCGGCGATTGCACATGCTATGCGATTCTTTTCTTTTCCAACAGTCGATGCGGGGAGCGTAAAAAGCACTTGGTACACTCGGGCCCTTGGTGGGGGCAAATGACTGCCCAAAGTTTGCCGCACCGTATCGACCGGCCTGTCGTGAAGCTGGTCCTGGATGTCTGCGATGGCCTGGTCTCTGTCGAACTCTTTCTTGATCTTCTCGAGCAATGCCTGCTCTTGCCGTCGCTTCTCCCTCTGATAGGTAAGAGTAGCGTCGCGTCTGGCTCTCCGAAGGCTCGAGAGTGCTGTCGAAGAGGCTCTCATGCGTTTCGCCTTTGCTAGTTCCTGGATAATCTGATTTCTTTTGCCGAATAGCTCGACGACTCTCGGGTGTCCCTCAATGCTTGCCGACTGCTCGGCAGAAAGCTTCCGTGGCCGCCTCGAGTCTATCGAACGCCGCATGCCGCTCGCTGCCCGCATCACCGCCGACTGGGGAGCCGTTCCTCGATAGGCTGCTTGCGTGTCTGCGCTGATATATCGCGGGAGATAGTGCCGCTGGAAGACGTCCGATTTGGAATGCTGCATGATGAGGTTCCGTAAGGAGTCGCTGACCTCATCTAACGCGAAGGCTCGTTAGCTTTGTTGCTTTGGTATGCGGAAAAATGTAGGGAAAAAAAAGAAATCAGCCTTCCAACACGAAGGAGTCAGCACATACTGCAGCTGTCAAACGCTCCGTCCCCGAATGCCCTAGCCAAGAAGTACGCGTATGGGGAAAGCACCAGACACGGGTCATGCCTAATGTCTGGTATGGGGAAGGTATTGCTGGTTCCTTCGTTAGCCATTCGCCACGCAGATCCCGGGCATGCACAACTATCTTACCTATCCTTTGCACCAAGATAACTTCTGGTGTACTCATAAGCCAATGTGAATGCGGCTACACTCGATATTTATAACTATGAGCCGGAATTCGTGGCCGCCTTCGCGTTTCTACTCTATGTGCTCAAGCGCTCCTCTCGGCAGAGCGCATGACTCAGATTACATCTTGACGGCCACGTTTTTGTAATCTATGCAGGAGCAAAGACAGGCCAGCATAGTGCAATCGGCGAGTAGTGTCTATCCAACATGTAAGTTCGGGGAAGTCACCGGAATAAGTGTTTGCAACCAGGGCCCCATGTCCGACACCTATACGACAAGCTCACGCGCTGCCAGGCTGGCCTTCTCGCCCAATTACGAACTGGCCATTGCTGGCCTAACCAGCACCGCAAGCGGAATGGCCGCACCGACAATGAGAAGTGTGAATGCGGAGAGGTCGAATCGGTCTCCCACATCCTCCTCAACTGCCCACTGCTACAAGAAGGCAGGCGAAAGATGTACGAACACAGCGAGCTTACAAAGAACAGCCTATCGGCTCTGCTAGGCGGCAAGACTCCAAAAAATGCCGAAGCCATTCAAGAAAATGAACTTAAATGGAAAACATCTACAACAAAGCTGCAAGCCGTACTCAAGTTTGCCAAAGAATCACAGCGATTTATGAACAGAGAAGAGCACATGGAGTAGGAGTCCGCTACACCCCGGCTACCCTTACCACCCGTCCTCCTAACTACCTGCATATCGCTTAGGGCGACGGGTTAGGGTAAATGAATTCAACTCAACTCAACTCAGCTCCTAGCATGATATTGGAGAGAGGGGTAGGATTGCCCTAGTGGCTCGAGTGGTGTGAATGGTTGGCATTTGTAGTCAAGAAGTAGATTCATAAACTGAATAGCGGTATTATACTTTAATCACAAAGCCATCCATTCAGCGCTTGCCGGTTGCTCACTGAGGAAGAATATTCCAAGAATCTACCTTCCAATTGCCTCATTGAGCACATGTTGAAGAACTGCTTGCATGAGCACCTAATCTGCAATCTCTGAGAAAGCCCGGCGTATCAGGTAAGAGGATGTCGATTTCACGAAATATCTTCCACAGTACCTCCAATTCTTACAGGATCTCGTTGCGAGGCTGCACATATTCGTCCTCGATACTCTGACGTCTTTGAGCGAAAAGAAAGTGGTGAGCCTTTGCAAAAGCAATACTTTCTCTGGAATCGAGAAAGACTATCTCCTCCTCTCTCCGTCCGAAAAACACATGCTCTTTAGTCAAAGAATCAATCGTCTTTTCGAGCCTATCAGAATTAAAATCGGCCAAGAAGAATTCTCCAGCTTCCAACGCATAGATAAAAGCGGTAGAGCTGGTGTATACAGTCCGTGCAGGCCGTCGAGTCTGATCCTGATTTCCGAGGATCCTGAAAGGGCCGCTTCCGAGAATCGGAGAAAGCCCCGAGTCGATGAGGTCAGCGTTGCTTAGGAATGGGCTAAAGGATTCGGTTGATGAGTTGCTGGCTCGGTTTGGCACATATGTTACTTCTGCCCTATTGGAGGATGAAGACCCCGTGGAATAAACGGAGGAGGGAGCTCCGTGAGTGACCGCATCTAAGGCTGCCTGGCCAATTCTCGATCTCATTCGTAGCATTCTCAAAGGCCCGCTGTGTATGGTGCCTCGCTGAGAAACACCTTCAGCTCCTACGGCCTCATCTCCAACCATCCCGCCGGATGGTGGCGAAGTGGCGTCGTTCGTACTGCTCCCAACTCTCGATAAAGCCGTGGAAATATTTTGGGACTGGCCAAAGAACGAGAAGAAAATATCCCTCTTGACGGCGAAAGAGGAGGGATATTCCCTTACTTCGAAGTCCTCGTTGGCGTACATGTAAGTTGCGAATAAATGTCCGTTGTCTCCTTTGAAGGACGCAAGAGATGGTCTTCCGCTCCGGAGTCCAATCGGCTGATCTTCACGATCTTGACTAAGGACCGGGCTAGGACCACCAACCTGGTTGTGCTGTATTCGATCCACTTCCTCGAAGATGCGCTGGACTGCCGTCGGAGACGGGGAGGCAAAGCGAGGTTTTGGGCGCGCTCTTGCGAGGAAGGCATTGATCAGAGCCTTTGTCGGATCTTGATCACAGAGCTTATTTATTGTATCGGTTCGAAAACCCAGCCTATAAGCAAGCAGAGCTAGCCTTACGGGCATATCCTCGGACACGGCAAAACAGTCCTTCGAGTTTCTCGAGTCTTTCCGCGGGGTCTTTTGGGTCATTTCAGGGTAATGACGGATTGCGAACAGCCACAGCTGCCGATATGCAAGCTCAAGGACTGTCCTCTCGTCTGCATCTATGTTTCTGTAGACTCCTTCGTCGACTTCAACTACCGTTCCTGAAGGTAGACTCGCAACGTAGCATCGCAACATGCAATTCCGGATGGATTTCTTCTTACGCGGATGCACTAGATTTGTAAGGATCTTTGCCGCCGGTTCTAAGTATATCGTATCTTCGGCGAATAGGTGTAGAGATGGGATACGACCGTCATGTTGTAGAAGCCGTTGGAGGACAATTCGACGTCGAAAGTCGTCTGTCACCATCGGTAAGATCGCACCATCCTCCATGAGCTGTTTGATTTTGACTTGATCCGCGAGGGAGTAGCGTGGCATGAGCCCCTCTAAGCAGCGGACTGTATGGGGATCGAGCTGCGCTTTGAGGTCCTCGTCGTAATTAAGGATATGGGACCAA